TAAGAGATAAACACATTCCTGTGCTTTTTCCTTTGTTTACATCCTTTGCATTGTCTCAAGCAATATAATAAAAATTAAATGTTATAATGATACGCAAAATATACTGAAAGTGGGGTTTTTTGGTTTATTTGTTTTGCTACTGGGGATAGAACTCATTACCTTACGCTTGCCAGGTCAGTACTTGTATATTCTCAGCCCTGAAATAAGTGTTTTAGACACCTCATATTTATTAATAAAGAAGTCAAGGCAATACTAATGAAAACGTCTAATGAATACCTGTAGCACTTGCCATCTGTGATTAGAAGAGCTAAAATTCTGAGACAAATGTAACAGCTGGAATATTAACTTTTTTTTTTTGTCTTTTTCTTTTTTATCGGTACTGGGGATCGAACTCACGACTGCCTGCTTGCAAAGCAGGCGCTTGTGCCGCTGAGTTAAATCCCCAGCCCCCAGGAATATTAACTTTAATGGCATAAGAAGCACCAAAAATGTACAGTTCATTACCAAACATCAAAAAAACTGCTGACTGACATCTAGCAAGAAAGTGACACGGGCTGACTCAGGTTCAGCAGTGCAGTGCTCACCCAGCACGCATAAGGCCCTGGGTTCCATCCTTAGCTCAAAAAAAAAACAAAAAACAAAAAACAAAAACCAAATCTATCTATCTGTATATCTATCACTAAATAAATTTAGGACCTAGTGCATATTAACACAGTGATGTCTCTAAATTTTTCTAAGATTGGTTAAACAACTATGTATGGATAATTAAGGCATGAAGTTTTAATTATCACACAGTTTTAATAAGCAAACATTTCCAATTAGTGACATCCACAGCATGGCCCTGATCCCCACAGTTTACCCAGTCTCACGGTGCCTTAGAGATGTCAGGATGCGGAACTCTCCTAGGAACGCAGATGCAGAAGTGTTCAGATCTGTGTTCAAGGCTGTGCCTGGCAGAGTGCTAACCGCAGGGAACTAGGTAAGTGATGGGAATGTCTGTTTCCCCAGTTACAAACTGGAGAGAATATTTAGTTCACATGCTTTTTAAGAGGATAAATTAGGACAGACTGTATGTACAAAAAACCAATTTTCTGTTTTAACCATTTTTCAATGTACCATTCTGTACCATGGATACATTCACACTGCTGTACACACAGCCTGAAGACATATTGTTAAAACACTGATAAGAAAAAAAAAAGCGGAGGGGCTGGGGATTTAACTCAGCAGCATAAGTACCTGCCTTGTAAGTGGGCGGTCGTGAGTTTGATCCCCAGTACCGATTAAAAAAAGACATAAAACACTGATGAGGACTGAGCACACGTAAACAGCACCGTGAATGGTGCTTACATAACCCTCAGCAAGGTGTGCTTAATCCATGTTCAACCTTTTTAAATTGTTTCCTCCTCAACAGAAATCATTTCATAGTTATTTCTGCTGAATTACTCTCAATCTAAGAAACGCTGGTTTTGATTTTGAAGCTGTCTGTAAACTATACTTCTAGCTTCTGAGTTTTACTCAGGTGACTGACAACAATATACACATTTTAGTAGCCAATGCACCGAGCTTACCACGTTCCCAGGGCTGTTCTACAAACCTTTACAAGCACTACTCTAATCCCCACAATAATTCTACGCTAGCAGCATTTACAATTTTACTGCTGACCACAAAGGGATTAAGAAACTTGACCACAGTTACCCAGCTGAAAAGCAACAAACCAGGATTTGCACTCAAAACAACTGAGTTCTAGAGCCTACATTCTTCACTGCTCCTCTGCATGGCTTCTCTCCTCTCTCTCGTGCACCCAGCATCCCACGCCCATGAGAATGACTACTGCAGATGCCAGATGTTATGTGTTAACTAAGCTTCTGAGTTTGTCAGAAGCTTTGATGGCTGTTATTTCGTGCATTTTTCATGTGACTACCTTGTAATCCCAAATTTAACAGTGAATACCAATCCCTTGCATTGCATAGATAGAAAAATCTTAGAGAAGTAATTATTCGGGGCTGGGGATTTAGCTCAGCGGCATAAGCACCTGCCTTGCAAGCAGGCGGTCGTGAGTTCGATCCCCGGTACCGATAAAAATGAAAATGACAAAAAAAAAAAAAAAAAAAAAAGTAATTATTCAAGGCCAATAAAAATACGGGAGAGGCCAGCCGTGGTGCTGCATGCTTGCGATCCGAGCATTCAAGAAGCTGAGGCAGGAAGATTGCCACAAATTCAAGGCCAGCCAACTACACAGTGAGTTCAAGGTCAGCCTGAACGCCATAGTGAGACCTTATCTCAAAAAAACCAAACAAACAAAAAAATGGAGAAACCTGCCTCCCAAGTTGTCCACTTATTAGCTATATGATTCTGTAAGTTCCCTGAGCCTCACTTATTGGTCTAACAGAAATGACAGTAGTGTATCTTGTAAGAAGCAAATAAATATATGTTTGTAAAAGCATTTAGCACAGAGCTTCGTATAAAAACGGCTCACTAAACATCAGCCCCCTTTCCTCCCTGTGCATGTGCTCCTAGCGAAGCATCCTTCCCAAGCACCCATGCCACCATCTTGCAGCACTCTCAGAAAAGTGGCAAAGGCCGTGACTTTTTGGTGATTACCATGTGATACCAAATCAGAAACTTCAATGAAGTTCAGCTAATCTTATATAATGTTAAGTGTGACAAACTTCTTCCCTTTGTCCATATGGCCTATCCCTCTATCAAAGTTGAAAATAAAATTGGTCTACCAGGATTTGTTCTTTATAAAGTTATGCATCATGTTCCCTGAAACCTTCTGTTCCTTTAGGTAACTGCCAACTAACTCACTTGTTCTAGTTCCTAATCAGAAATTACTCAAAAATTAAGCTGACCATACCCTTTCTAAAGCTGTATTTTTTTCGTTAGAAAGTGTTCTTTTGAGTGTCACCACGATTTCTCAAAATTAAAGGCTAATAACTTGGCACTTGGTTCTTTCCCCTCACATTTGCACAGACAGAACATCCAACACTGAATGAGAAGCACTATCTGTGCCAACGTGGCCACAGTCATCAGCTTCCTGTCAATCGAACAGCATTTTCTTAAGACAAGATAAAAATGCTTGGAAATGGCGTGGTCTTCTCTAAAGCACAAAACTGCTCATAATTAACCCACTCTTCCTCACCAAAGCAATGACGTCTCGAAGTCGCACGTTAGCTCCTCAGCATCACCTAAATACCCCCGCCACATCTTAGGCCATCTTAAAGTGGACATGAAAAACCCAAAGGAAATTTCCCATCCATAGTTGCCTTCCCAAATCTCTGACTTCTCTGACACGATGACAGGTATGCCGGGAGGTGACAATGCAAAGCACCCCAGAGAAAAACGGCACCACTGGAACGATTCCTTTGCTTGGCACAGTGAAGGTTCACTGCCAATTTTTAATGGTATGAATTCAATAACACTTCAAAGCCAAAAATGAGCCTTGGATATAAGCAGTTTTCCAAAGCAGCTTTTGCTGAGGTCTGTAGTTAATATAAAACAATTTAAAAACCTGCAAGAGTTGGTAGCACACAGGCAATATTCAGGAACTTAAATGTGACATATTATTTGAAATTAAATTTTTTTTGTCTTTTTTCTTTTTATCAGTACCAGGGATCAAACTCACGACTGCCTGCTTGCAAGGCAGGTGCTTATGCCACTGAGCTATATCAACAGCCCCTGAAATTAAATTTTTTTAAAAAGTACTAAGCTGAGACAACATATTTGGCTTTATTCATTAAGTCTTTCTTGAGGTTACTTTATGAAAAGGGGATGAGGAATTATAGTTTTGATACTTAAGCTTAGCCATCAATAAACAAATTACTAGTCCTACTATGGTAATCTTAGGAATTCGAAAGGAGATAAATGCAACAGCAGCTGTTACAGTACTGTTCAAACCTGAAGTACAAAACAATACAAGACTTTTAAAAACATAACCATCTATAATAAGGGCATTTTAATTGTACCAGCCCTACTGGCCAAATACACATTATAACAAAAAGTTAGTAATGATACTTTCTTAGACCTTTATGAAAACATTTACCAACCAAGACAAATTTAGTTTCTACTATGGCACTTGAGTATGTTTTTGTCTTAACTTGGTGGACTAAAAACTTACTGAACAGGTGCAAAAAATATAACCCAGGACTCATTGTTCAGTATGATTTTTGATACATATAAGAAGGAATATTATTGCTATGTGTGGGTGGTACAAGTCTGTGATCCGAACTCTGAGACTGAGGAAAAAGGAATTAAGCTCAGGCATATCTATCTATCTGTCTATCTATCTGTCCATCTATCTATCTATCTATCTATCTATCTATCTATCTATCTATATGCAACCTTACCTCAGAAAACAAAGCAAAAACAAAAATACATGATAGCCTAAGTTTTATTCTGAGACTAAAGTTAATGTACAGTATAGGATATGAACAAACTAGATTCAGTATTCCAGTTTTTATGCTGTGGCACATGAAGATACTTTAAAAAAAAAGAATATTATCTCATAAAATCACTAAGTCTTTCCCATTTTACATCAGGAATATCTCATTACTGCAAAAAGACTCAGTTTTGAGGGGATTTTGGTTTGTTTTTATAGGATGGGGGTGAATCAGTGCCATCCACATGCCAAGTCAGTGCTCTTCCTCTAAACCTACATCCCTAACACTTTTAAGAATTTATTTTGGGCCAGGGATACAGCTCAGCAGCACAGCGCCTGCCTGTGCAAATGTGAGGTCATAAGTTTGATCCTTGATACCAAAAAAAAAAGAATTTTAATTTTTAAACAGGGCCTGGCTATGTTGCCCAGGCTGGCCTCCAACCTATAACCAACCCTTCTGTCTTAGCCTCCAAAGTAGCTGGGATTACCAGTGTGCTTCACTATGCCCAGAAACAAGAAGGCTTAATGAAACAAGATTCTCATTAAGACTAAGAAAGTAAAAAATATGGTTTCAAATGAAACCTAATACTTATATCCCTTCCCCATGAGATACCCCAATTACCTCATCTCCTTTTAAAACTTCAGTGCCATCAAACTCACGGATCTGATTTCTCTTGGCAGACACTTCTCCCTCTAGGGTGGCTAACTTCTCCTTAGTCTCTTGAAGCTCCTCTGCTTTGGCTTCTTTTTTACGAGAAATGATGGATGCCTAATTGAGCATTTAATATGAATATAAAACAAGATATGTAATCAAATTTTTATTATCTTGTGAAACTGCTTGCTTTTTAAATTTGCCACGCTGAGTCTGCAGTACCACCTTGACTTTCCTGACCAATACCCCTGCCCTACTGTTCAATCGATTATCATTTAGCACAAACATGTATCAAATGTAAACCTAAAAACATTTGGAAAACAAAAGGCCTGAAATATAAGACACTTCAACAGAAAAACAAAACATTCAAGTCTTCTCAACACTCCAATGCTGTACATCCTAGCTAAGGAAATAGAAGCTGACACCAAGTCTACTGTTTTTTTCTGTGGTGGGTTTCCTTTCATTGGAAGAACACGAGAATGCTTTATTTTTGGAACTACAACACAAGTTACCTTACCAAATTCAATATCCACACTTTTAAAATGAAAAGTTAAAACATCTACTGTATTTGGGACATTCTAATAAATACAATGTGACCAGGGATATAGGCTCAGCAGTGTAAGCGCCTGCCTGGCAAGCACGAGGTTGTGAGTTCAATCCCTGGTACCAAAATAAAATAAAATACAAATAAAATGCAGCCTCAAAATCAAAAACTGACTCACCAGAACTATGTAGATCTTTACACAATCCACATGCCTGCCCTTAGCCATGAAGGTAGTGCTCTGTATTAGCTAGCAACTCTTGGGGGTTTCCTTGAATGAATCATGACCAGGCTAGTCAAGAAAAACAGTCAAATTGTCTTAGTAAGTGAAACAGTACAAGTATGTACTGAAACGAATTTGGTAAAAGAAGGGTCATCCCTAATGTGAGCCCTTTAAAAAATTCCATTGTCCTTCCTGTTTCAAAAGAAAAGATAGGCAAATATTCAATCTTAAAAAATAAAGAAGGTAGATAGGCCCGTAATCCAGCACTCAGGAAGCTGAAGTAGGCAGACTGGCATGAGTTCAAGGCCAGCCTCAATCACAGAAGCCGCTGCCTCAAAATAAATAAATAAAAGGAGGAGAAGAAACGGAATCAGCACTACCGGCCTCGTGTGTGCGGGGCCTTGGGTTTAATAAACAGCACCCAGTGGAGGAGCGGGGAGGGATATATATCAGTGCAATACAGAGTCTTATTTAATAGAAAAAGAAAAATTATTTCCCTTTAAGGACAGGCATAAGATAACATGCCTAATACCTCCACTACACTTTAGGCATTGAAGGTATTAACACTCCTAGACAAAAGAAAGCAATCAGAAGTGTAACAACCTAAAAATAGGGACTTGGATATTATATACCTAATTTTTTTGGGGGGGGGGTCTTTTTGAGATAGGCTCTCGCTATGCGGTTCAGGCTGGTCTTGGGTTCACTTTGTAGCCCAGACTGGTCTCGACTTTGCAAAGATCTTCCTGCCTCAGCCTCCCAAGTGCTGGGATTACAGGAATGTGCCACCACATCTGGCTTATATACCTAATTTTAAAAAACCAATAGAAAGACTATAGTGAACAAATCAACAACTTTTATAGAAAAACAAACTCTGTTTGGAGAGAGAAAAGCCCTTGAAAACTAACTTTAAATATGAAAAGTATATTTTTTTAAATCACTAAAAAGTCTTAAGTATTTTGATTTATACTATCTAACGTAAACTTTAATTTAAAAATGAATAATAATAAAACAATTCCATGCTCACAGACAGAAACACAAACAGCTTTGTCACCATAATTGACTGACACTCAGGAAATTAAACACCATCTCATGTACTGACTTCAAACTTGAACTATGTCTTTTGTGGTCCTCCCACTGATTCTCTGCACTAATCTGGAGGTTGGCAATGACAGAACATTTGTTTTCCACTTGCCTCTCACTTGAAGACCACAGGTAACAGAGCTGGTGGTTTTGATGACTCTGTTATCAAGCAAATTACAGATCTATATACATGGGCCCGAAGAGTGATCATACCTGTTGCCTGTATAGTGAGAGTTTGCCTTCGATTGGCTCATTTCTCATCATTTTCTTCTCAATCAGTTGATTGATCTGTGTGTTTACTTCATTTATCTAAGAGAGTATCAAAGCAAAATATGTTAAGACTGCGATTGTGCAAACTAAGAACATGGCTAACCCAGCTCCGAATTTACACTCACATCAGTACGACTGGGTGGGAGGAACAAGACCACTCACGAATGGACTGATAGGGTTATTTTTAGAAGTAATTTTATATTTCATAGTATCGATATATACAGTTTCATTACTTACATGGATTTAATTATCTGTATCTAAATGACCCCAGAAGTGTTTCGTAAACACTTCTGCATCATTGAAAGGATGTGCTCTGAGCACCCAGGTCAGCCCTCATCTAGATCTTGACTTGCAGTCACTGTAAGGAGAAAGCCCACACAGACAAACCTTCCACTAGGGCTGAGTACAAAGAACTCAAGAACTCAGCTCCACATCTAAAGCGCGCTGTGCTAATAATGATCTGCATTCTTTGACAGCTATTATCATATCCTTAAATCTGTCCAAAATCTAACAATGAATCCAAAAGAGGAAAATAGTTTATCCACAAATAAAACAAGGCTTTCAGCATATCTAGTCTTTGAAAGATAGAGGTTTCCTGTGAATTTTACAACTTTAAATTTCAGACAAATCTGACTTAGACCTCTAACTTCTCAAAGTAAATTAAAGGAATAAAAAAGTCAGAATTATGTATTTAATTACAGTGAGTAGGAAGTACACCAAGGATTAGCAAGTCAAAACTTTCAATCAATTTTCACAATCAATAATTATTAATTTTTTTAAATACATCTAATTAGTATTTTATTTCTAGGAAACAAAAAAGTTGCCAGGCGTGGTAGGACATGCCTGTAATTCCAGTATTTGGGAGGCTGAGAAAGGAAATCACCATGAGTTCAGGGACAGCCTGGCTTCCATAGTGAATTCAAGGCCAGCCTGCACTACATAGTGAGACCCTGTCTCTAATAATCAAAACCAAAAACACGTACACAAAAAAGAAAAAAGTTACAATATAACGGTTTTCAGTGAACAGTATAACAAAGTTTAGTAATCTCAAACTTGAAAGGGCATTAAGAGTGTTAGCTTTATGTATAAAGTTATCATATCATGCTTAGAAATAAAAAGTAATGATATTAAAAATATTTTAAAATGTGCCATCTAAATGATATTATGAAGACATAATCTTGTACATATTAATTTTTATATATATTAAAGTTATTAGTTACAGTATCATGCTTTTACAATACAATGGGGATTAAGTAACAGTGTAGCATTCTATAGTTCCTCCTAAGGAACAATTCTTCATAAGAGTTGTCATCGCTCAGCAGGGCTTAACTTTAGAGTCCTAAGCACACATGGAGGAAGCAGCTTCCATAATTTCACAGGACTAAGGCTGAGACGAAGCCGGGAGCTGTAGAAGACTCTCACTTACTTTGGATTCAAGTTCAAGAAGATCAGCATGGCCCATCGCTGGCTCTGAAACCACTTTTTGTAAAAAATGCAACTCCTTTTTCTTGTTCTCTAATTCCTTGGGGAGTTTTTCAGTTACCATATACGAATTAAATTTTGTCTCCTCCTCTAGCCTCTTCATTAAACCTTCAAAAATAAAATAAATGAATATTCAGCCCAAAAGAGCTGGTATATTACACACATTTCTTTAAGTCTAAGACCTAGAAAGTAGGGCATCTTTATTGATAGCATTCTGGATAGTAACTAATATAGTTTAAAAAAAAAAAAAAACAAAGAAAGAAAGAATAAATGAACGAACAAACTGGTCATTGAAATCTTTTGATGTTAAAGTAAGTATGAGCACAATTTGCATGGAAAAATATTTAAATAATTACACAAAAACTGGTACAACCTTTCAAACTTTACAACCTAATTCTTCAGTATCTCACAATTATATAAAAGTAGCACTTGCAGAACTAGATATATTGCGGGGCTATATTTTGTTTTTTAAGTATTTAAGAAATCTACCCAAATGACACTTAAATGAAACCTAACTCTGGTACTCTTACACAAATGGTGATTTCTTTTGAAATACTTGCAATGCAATTTATATTTCTAGTCTAATTTTTCTAGTTCTTGAGACAGGGTCTCCCTATGCAGTTCAGGCTGGCTTTGAACTCACTATGTAGCCCAGACTGGCCTCAAACTCATAGTGATCCTCTTGCCTCAGCCTCTCAAGGGCTGGGATTACAGGCGTGCGCCACCACCCCTGGCTCTGGTACGTCTTAAATAGTAGTACATTACAATGTTTTAACTACAAACCAACGAAGACATTACAAAAGGTACAAGAAGTTAAAAAAAAAGAAATAAATTATATTCATAAATGTTTTAGGCTTAGTAGCTTTTATTTTTTAAAGTACAGTAGTAGTTTACAGTTAAGTGACAAGTTACTTTTTAAGACTTAATAGTTTTCTTATTTTGGCAGATATACAATGACACATAGATTTTCAGTGAATAATAGCTTCATTATAAAGTCCCAGCTTAGAGAGCTTTATAAAGTTTACTTGAGATCTTTCCATTACACATTACAAACTTTGGCTTGACTTTTAAAATGCTGGGTTTCCGGTTTAAGTAATCTACGTACGTAGATTGCACAATAAATCTGGCCCAAAGCCTTAAAACTATTTTTAGTTCTGTTGAAGAACATAAAAAATTTATTAGTGGCAAATTTGCAAGTTTTCCATTCATTCCTTGATTCTGTCCTCCTCCCTTTTTCTCTAGAATTGGAGAAAGGGGAGGATAGGAAAGTGTATAATGAATCACTATAATCATGTGAGGCGATTCCTAGATGATTTCCAATCACATACACACCCGGCTTTCTGCGATTAGGTGACTAGCTTTTCCACCCTCACGTCCCTTTTTTTTTTTTTTTTTTTGGTAGTGGGATCGAACTCACGACCATGCGCTTGCAAGGCAGGTGCTTATGCCGCTGAGCTAAATCCCCAGCCCCCTGCCTTCACGTTCTTAAAGATATCTCACTTTTCACATCCGTGGAATCAACATCTCAAAGATATAAAAGTCTTTTTCTACATAAAAAGGTTTCAAATTTAGAAAATACAAACTAGTGCTCACTTAAGCAGCACATATATTAGAAAATACCAACTAGCTGAGCCGAGGCTGAGGCAGGAGGATGGCTGCAGGTTAGAGGCTACAACAGCAAGATCCTGTTTCAAAAAGCAAAAAACAAGAAAAAGAAAGAAAAGAAAATACAAACTCATCTGTAGTGACAGCGGATCAATGGTTCCCTGTGGATGAGGAGAAAGCAGGAGTGAAACATTACTAAGGGCACGAGGAAACGCATGGGGACACTTATCTTTAAACTAATGTTGACGGCTTCATCAGTGAATGCCTATGTGCAAACCTACAAATATATATATATAATACGTATAAAACATATAATATATGTATGTTCTATAATATATACAATGTATTATATGTATAACTTAAATGTACTATATATATAATTTTTTTTAGACTGGGTTTTGCTATGTAGTTTTGGCTGACTTTGAACTCATATGTAGCCCAGGCTGGCCTCAACTTTGAGGCAATTTTCCTGCCTCGATCTCTGTGGGATCACCGGAGTGTACTACCATGCCCAGCTCAAGTATATTTTTTTATTTTTTTTTTGGTCTAGGGATTGAACTCAGGACCTCATGCTGGCCAGGCAGTCACCTGTGCCACTGAGCTAAATCTCTAGACTTCATACTTTTTTTCAACTATATTCTCTCTCTCTGTCTCTCTCTCTAAGTCAGGGTGTCACTCTGGAGGCTGGCCTTAACTCATGGCAATCTTCCTGCCTCAGCATCCCAAATGCTGGGATTACAGGCATGTACTACCATGCATGGCAAGTAGAAACTTTAATAAATATGCTGCTTTATTATGTCAGTTTTACCTCAACAAAGCTATTAAAAAACATCAATTACATCAATTTTAGGTCCTCTTAAAAAATCTAACTTAAGACTCTGAAACTAGTCTTAGGTAGAATTTTTAAAAATACCTTTATAAACATTTTGGAGGAATTCAATATAGAGTCACTAATATCACAGCAAACTTTATTATTAAAAACCCTCTGAAGGGCCAGGGACATAGCTCAGTGGCACAAGCACCTGCCTGGCTGGCTGGCACAAGGTCCTGATGCAATCCCAGTAGAAAAAGAACAACCAACCCTCTGAAACATCTCACTGACCCTACATAACTGAGCAACTGCCCCTCAGTGTCATGGGCATGTGCAGTGTGTCATGTTAGGGTAACTTCAGAGTGTTTTATAATATGGTTACTGCTGTACAGAATCATAAACTATACTGTGACACTAAAACTATTTTTGTTATTTAAGTAAACAGGAAGAAATTTCATAAGCCATTTTTGTTACAAAAAATTTAGATGTGTCTTATTAAACTCAATGCCTGGTTCAATCAAATATCTGCTAATGAATTCTCTTCCTAGGCTGCTGACCACAATCCTTATGATTTGTTTCTCAAAAAGATATTAGCAAAGTAAGAACTTCTTTCCCTCTTGCTCCTTACTTTCCATTCACAAAATACAGATACTGCACCCAGAATCACTTATTTATGTACATACTTATTTATTGACATAGGCTCTCATTATGTGGCTCAGGCTGGCCTTGATCTTGAGGTGATCCTCCTTCCTCAGCCTCCTGAGTGCTGGGATTACAGGTGTGGGCCACCAAACAAAATCTTATTTTAATCCACGTTTTCCACCATTTTTTCTTAATTGTTTCCCCTGCCTGTGGGACAGGTTTTTTTCTACTGAGAGTTAAGTCTCAAGTCCCAATTCCTTATGTAATATTTATTAAATTAGTTGATACACAACTTACCTATTGAGATTAATTTTTAAATAGCTATAATATAATGGCTTTCTTTTGAAGATTCATCTGAATTTTTCATAGTAAAGATGTGAAGCAACCTTGCATCAATCCCAAAGAACAAAAACTAAACAGATACTATTTTAGAATATTATTTTTAAGTTATAGGAAAAAATTCACATGTTAAAAACTAACCTTCTCCTAAACAGAAGAGACTTAATAAAGTCGAGTGATACCAGCAACCAAAAGCATAGCTATGTTCAGGTGCTGCTTGAATCAGAATCCATGAGAAATGAAGGAGAGACTAGGTAGGAAGTTACAAGTGAACACCCAGTAACCATTCACCTTGTAAGGGCACTGTGGTGCCGTGGCTTCCACGTACCAATCACACGCATCTTATTTCCCTGATTTTTGAAGACGTTATCAATTATAAGATATCATCAACTAAATTACAAATACCATGTTAAAATAATTGCAAAAGTAGGAATATAAAGCATCAGTGTCTACAAGAATGAAAATTCTGTTTTAGCTCTTTTAATAGCTGTATAGAGATGTAATTTTCACACCACAAAATTCACTCATTTAAGTGTATAATTCAGGCACACGCCTGTAAGCCCAGCACTCAGGAGGCTGAGGCAAGAGAATCACTGGAAGTTGGAGATCAGCCTGGACTACACAGAGTTGAAAGCCAGCCTGAACTACGTAGTGAGACCCTGTCCCCCACCAAAAACAAGAACAAAACCCCCCCAAAAAACACAATGTAGTAGTTTTTGGAATATTCACAGTTGTGCAATCATCAGCACCAATTTTAGGACATTATCACCAGAGCCCCCAAAAACCTCAAAATTCACTTTCACACCAGTTGCCTTATCCACACAGCTGTCCTCCCAGCCCTCAACCATGAATTTGATTTCTGTTTCTATGGATTTTCCTCTTGGACGTTTTACCTGAGGTCTTCGGGTATGTGCTTTCTTTCACTTTCAAGTCCACCCACGTCACCCTAAGCAAGCACTGGTACTTCATTCCTTTTGATGGCAGAACTATATTCCATTGTGTGGACATGCCACATTCTGTTAGCCCGTTCATCAGCTGAAGGACATGCACTATTTCTGCTTTTGGGCCATTACGAATAAGGCTGCTATGAACATTTATGTTCAAGTGTTCATGGGGTCAAGTGTTTTGATTCCTTTGGACATACACGTTAAGAGAGGGCATGTAGGCTCATGTGTTACCAAACATTATACTTAACCACCTATTTTCCAAAGCAACTGCATTATTTAGCACTTCCACAAGCAGTGTATGAGGCTCCAATTTCTCCACATTCTTTCCAACATGTAGAATTATCTGTCCTTTTTATTACGGTCATTCTATGCATCATCTATACTTTCTGGATTACCACAGAAAGCTGCATTAACTATCAGCTAGACTTTTATGTTGTAATATTTCTCCAATACAAATGAGATCTTTGTACTGCTCTTCCAGTTTGTATGGCCTCCATTCTGACAAGCAAAAACATTTTTAAAATGCTTAGGGTGGGTTTGCTGATGTAACTTGGATTATCAGATAAGTTTATCTTCATGTCAAGTATGTATGCACAGAGCCAGATACACTCACACCAGTTAGCCCTATTATTCTACAGAACAAACTAGGAAAAGCACTCAGCATTAAGGGTCCTATAACGTTATGGTTTGTGTCTAGTTGTCCCCCAAAGCCCCGTGCAGTCATAGGCGGGGCTTTCAGAGGTGTCTGAATCTGGTGTGCAATGTTAGGAGAAAGGGTGAGCGATCAGTTGACTGGTTGGTTTGCCACTGCCCTCATCCCAGCAGCCCAGATGAAGAATAAAAGGGGCAGGGAGATGCTGTTAAGGTCAGTTGTTCTGCTGTTCTCGTCTGCCATGCTACTTTGCCCTGGAGTCAGCTGATAATGAACTAAAACCTCTACAAAGTGTGAGCTAAATAAATCCTCCCTTCCTTAACTCTGGGCATTGGGTATTTTGCCTCAGCAAGGAGAAAAGTAATAGACTCAAGTTTTACTATTTGCTTTACAACCCTGACCCTAAAGCAGCAGGTCACACTCTTCCCACAACGTCCGCCCTGAGCACTGTACACAGCCACACAGAGGGCAGCCTCCTTGCTAGTCACTGTCACTATCATTCCCTTCCCCCTCTGAGAGAAAAGCTGGGGAGGAACTTGTTTGAAAATCCAGGGATGAGCCTGGGTGACGGCATATGACTGTGGTGCCAGCACTCATTTTGGAAAGCTGAGGCAGGTGGGTTGCTGTGAGTACAAGGCCTGCCTGGGGGCTACAAAGTGAGTTCAAGGTCAGCCCAAACTATAGAGCGAGACTCTGTCTCAAAAATAAAAAAAGAAAATTCATGGACGTCTTCATCAGAGCTCCATTCACCACCTATGAAGTAGTATTCCAAATGCTGCCATTTCACTGGATGAGAATTAATTCCCATTAATTGATGGCTTTAAGGGCTATCCTAATTTAGGATAATTTAATTTATCCTAATTTAGAAAACATTTATCCTAATGTTTTCTAAGCATTGTAGAAGAACTTCCTACTTACTTTCGGGCTTTGCATCTGCTGCAGCATGGCGCATATTCTTCAGCTGGTTTTGTGCTCTTTGCAGTCTCTGCACTGCATGAAACAGCTTTAAAATACAATAAGATTTACAACCCGCTTAGTCTATTGAAACTTACCACTCACACAGGCAAACAGTGGAAAATACATGCAATTGTTATGATATTAAAAAGAAACAACTGAGAAAATTACTATATTAAACAAAAAATGTAACTAGTTCTCTCAGTACCTTTGCATATAAAAATTTTTAAAAGCTTTTAAAATTTTTTTCTTTAGTTAACTTGGTGATGAAGGCAAAATATTTGTTAAGGAAATATATCCATCAGACATTTCTCATTGTAAAATGATTTTCTTAATCCTAAGAAACGTTAACATTCTCACAACGATGTTTCAGAACCAGAAACTGATGATGCATAACTATTCGAGGCTTAGGAAACACAAGCTTAGCACTGCAGGGAAACCATGATGGTGTCAAGTCAAGCTCCAGCAGAGCTCAGTACCTAAACTGCCAACTTCATGGGAAATGAAACCACTCTGAAATACTGTTTTCATATATAATCTACTCAGATTCTTTTTTTTTTTTTTTTTTTTTTTTTTAGTAGTGAGGTTGAACCCAGACCTTCACATTGAGCTACATAACCAGTCCATTTTTGATTTTGATTTTGATTTTGAGACGGGATCTTGCTAATTCACTAAGTTGACCAACCTAGGCCCAATTTGTGATCTTCCTGCCTCAGACTCCCAGTGCTGAGATGACAGGTATGCACCACCATGACTGGCTCTAGATAAAGTTTTAGTCAATGAAAGTAATAGAAGCAAAATCTAAAAACAGGAGTGTGAGTGATTTTGAGCCTGCTCATGATTGCTGGTATGTTACTGGAGTAAATCAAAGACGACACTGTAGCAGAGGAACAAAATGGCCGTTCTTCTAGCCCTGGAATGTAAGGAACCGTTTAAGAGTCTACACGTTTCCTTGGCAGTTAATCTATCTTACTGATGCAGGTTACAGTGCTGGAAGAACACGAATCAAAAGATAGCTATAGACAGATATGGAGTAAGAACCCACAGGAAGGTGCTGTGGGTGCTGTGGGTGCCACAGAACACTCTTAATGTTTTGTCATGTTAACAAAGGAAAGGTGAAATTCTGTAATTCTAAAATTTTTTCTTCGCATCTGAATGATCAGAATGAGTGACTTTGTTCATCCTGAGAATAGAAACTTTACGTGAATACCTGATTCTTTTGTTCCTGCTTGTGTTGTGCAAGACACTCTTCTCTCTCTTTTTCAACTCGAAGTTGCCTTGCTATTTTGAGCATCTGCTGGTGATTCGGAACTGTCTCCACCTACAGTGAGCGAATACGCAGTACATGTTACTGTCAGGTTTGAGAAAGAAATTAGTGCGTGACTCAGACATCCACTTCTCATTTCGCTGGGGTAAACAGTACTCCCTGGAGATGACAGCCACGCTCCAGACTCCAAATCCTGGAAGACATTGGGCTACTGCCTAGGGAGATTCCCTTTCCCTCAATGTTATTTGAGTCGTCCTCCGATGGACACTCATGCCTCGCTTAATCTTTATTTGCATTCCTAAGACTTTGCCAGTCCCCGGGCTGTGGGCCCAAAGTCTCCAGTGCTAATTCTTCCAAGTACTAACCAGGCTTGAGCCTGCTTAGCCTCTGTGGTCAGACGAGACCAAGCACGCTCAGAGCGGTACGGCCGTAGACGCACTGTTCATTTTTTTTTTTTTTTTGTCTTTTTCTTTTTTATCGGTATCGGGGATCGAACTCACGACTGCCTGCTTCCAAGGCAGGCGCTTATGCCACTGAGCTAAATTCCCAGCCCCGCACTGTTCATTTTTGCCTTACCCTCTTCTTCAAACGTTCGACTCTCTTGATGAGCTGATCCTTTTCTTCTTCCATTGCACTGATATCCTAAAAAGAGGATTATTAAAAACATTCTTAGATTGCAGGACTCAGATCAGGTTTTTATATGACTATGCATCCACCATTTTCGTCATTTATAACCAGAGCAGTAAGGAATAGAGATCTCTCTCTGGGATAAAGGGCATTTCTATTTGCCCCCAGGGTTCTTTATGCAGGATAATTTTTTTGGCAGCTTACTGTTCATGTAAAGAAGCATTAAAGCAGGTTAGAGTGCAGCAAGGTAAAGCTGCCAACCAGCACATTTGTGCTGTTCTGACTCCAAATATGGACACAGGATTTTCAAAAATCTTCTATAACGGAAAATGTGCAGGTCTAAATCCATGAACAGCAGCTGCTGACATCCCACCTGCTGTGTTAGATGCCAAGCCACACACCCTGCCAATTTTGCATCAAAATAACTTTTAAGGGTATGATGTTTTCAAGACCTAAATTTGTATCTGGTTTTGCCAATTAACCAACTATTTCCTGAAAATAAAGGTTTTAAAAACAATCACCTTAGTTTTTAACTAGTCCCATAATATAGTATAATGAAAGCAAACAAAATCCTTTCTAAACCTGAAAAAAAGAATGTAGTAACTCTGAAGGTAAAATGTATATAGTAGTCAAGAATGACAGAATTAGGGGCTGGGCATTTAGCTCAGCGGCATAAGCACCTGCCTTGCAAGCGGGTGGTCCTGAGTTCGATTCTGAGTACTGATAAAAAAAGAGTGACATAATTGGGGAAACTGGCACTGTTACTACTGGTATCACTGTATTCAAGAATAATCTAAGAAGTCTTAGGATAAATACACTTCTCTTCTAGCCCAGTAATCCCATATTGGAGGATTTATCCTAATAAAATATTCATAAAGAGTCACAGATTTCTCTACAAGGATTCTAACTGATGCCAATTATATCTAAAATTTGAAACAGTCTAAATGCCTGAGGATTGTTACATACACTACAACATAATACAATGAAAGTCATTTTAAAGTTATGAAAAATGTTTAATGACATGACATTACTTGCAAAAAGGAAATTACAGCATTTATATATAATACAATACCAAGAAAAAGATTTAAATACATTTACCAAATTTTTCTTCTTGTTTTAATCTTTTTTTGTTTTGGGGTTGTTTTTGAGACAGGGTCTCCTATGCAGTTCAGGCTGGCCTTTTTTTTTTTTTTTTTTTTTTTTTTTTTTTGTCTTTTTCATTTTTTATCAATACCAGGGATCAAACTCATGACTGCCTGCTTGCCAGGCAGGCGCTTATGCCGCTGAGCTAAATCCCCAGCTCAGGCTGGCCTTGAACTCAACGACAATCCTCCTGCCTCAGCCTTGCAAGTGCTGAAATTACAGGAGTGTGTCACCATGCCCAGCTTTTTTTCTTTTTTAAATAAGACAATCTATTTGACAATGGGGAAGGAGGAAAAGATGACAGACAGCAACTCTGGACAAGCAGGGAGAATTCGCAAGTAAATTTCTCCTTAATCATCTCCTTAAAATCTACTGTTGCCAGGTGTTAGAGCACATGCCTGTGACCCTGGCACTTGGGAGGCTGAGGTATGAGATGGACTCAAGTTTGAGGCCAGCCCTGGCTACATAGTGAGTTTGAAACTACAAGGTGAGACCCTTTCTCAAAACACAAACAATCAAACAAGACTGCAGCCGGATGTGGTGACAAGTGCCTGTAACCTTAGCCCTCAGGCTGAAGCAGGCAGACACCTGAGTTCCTAACCCTAACCCTCGGCTACATGATGAGTTCAGGGCCAGTCTGAACCACACAGTGAGACTGTCTCAAAAAAAAAAAAACAAAATGAAGTAAAATAAAACTTATCATAAAGAGTTTAAGAACACTTTAGTAACAGCAAAGGAAAATAAAATACAGATTCGGTTCATTTAGCATCTTGGTTTACTTGCAGGACACGACAGATGCACAAGCAATGCACCCCATTCCTCTTCTGTACCATGCTGTATCTACTTCTTGTTCTTCCTCCCCCAACTGACCATTTCTAATATTCTACAAACTCATATTGAGAATCTATGATGTGCCAAACACTGTGCCACGCTGGGGAGCAGAAGAGTGAACAAGAGGTACAGACAGACTCCTTGCCTACTGTTACGGATTAAAAACTGGCAGTCAGCTTAACACCAGCTGAATTAAATCAGCAGAGTGCTGATCGTAGAGGGCTGAGGACAGTCGCCAGCATAAAAGTGGACATGGAGAGGAAGAGTGTGGCGTTGTGGGTTCTCCTAAGTGTTGTTTGGAGCCATTGGTTCTCCTGGAGGAGCTTGTCATGCTGGCTTCCTGAAATGTACTTGACTGTTCTCATCATCGGAAATTTGGGATCTCATTGTCACTGAGGATAGCTATGATATTTTGGGGAAACCCTGATCCCTATTTTGAGCATCGCTTCTTGGACCCAGTGTAGAAACCCTCCACCTACTAGCACAGCTCCTTCACCCTGCTGGCAAAGACTTCTAGTTTCCACTGCTGACCTTTGGGCCTTCCCAGTGTAGATCCATAAAACAGACTTACACGAGTCATTGTCAGGGGCTTTGGGCTACTGGACCAGTTGGGCTTGTGAGAGGCACTGTCATGGGCTCTAGGTCTTTAGCTGGACTCATGCAGGACATGTTGTGGGATCCAGGCCCTTGGCTGGATTTCCCAGGTCTTTAGTGTTAGGGACAAATTTCCTATATACTTTCTTGTATTTAACTCTGGGTGACCATCATAAAATAGTCTTATAAATTCTATGTCCTGTAATAATTGTTTTCCATGCAACCCCTGAATATAACATTTACTAAAAGGAATTTGGTTAGAAAGATATTAAAGTAATTACAAATATAAAGAGCACAGGGGCTGGGGATTTAGCTCAGCAGCATAAGCGCCTACCTTGCAAGCAGGCAGTTTGAGTTCAATGCCTGGTACCAATAAAAACAAAAAAGACAAAACAAACAAACAAACAAATGAGCACCCTAAAACAAAAGAAAATTGGGTAATCTGAATCTATTCAGGGAAAGAAGGAAAGCCTCCCCTGAGGAAGCAACTTCTAATGTTCCTGATTTAATGAGGATATAAATATGGCACTCATAATTCATGAACTCTAAAAACATAAAATCCATGTAAGTCAATATATAGCATGGGTGGGGCCAGGGATGTAGCTCAGTGGCACAGCACCTGCCTGGCAAGTGTGAGGCACTGAGTTTGATTCCTGGTATTAAAAAAAGGCATGGGGGCTGGGGATTTAGCAGCATAAGCGCCTTCCTTGCAAGTATGCGTTCGTATGTTTGATTCCTGGTACCGATAAAAAAGAAAAAGACAAAAAAAAAAAAAAAGGCATGTATTGAATAAGAAGCCAATTTTTCCTTCTTGTGAGCTGCTGCAAGTCAGGCGTGGCCTTGGAGGAGAGGAGCTGACCTGCCCTTCCCATGAGTCAGCAGAAGTCACACTGGGCCTAGGAGGAGTAACAAGAAGCCAATTCACCCTTCCCATGAGCCAAAAGGCACATGGGCTAGGAGACACGAACACCTGCTAACCCCACAAGCAACCTGCTGAGTCAGAGGACAGGCTGAGTTGATAGCAACCGAGGTACAAAAACAACTTTATGTTTGTGCTGTTAACTTTGTAGGCCTAATTCTAAGGCCAGTCAGTAGTCTGGGTACCTAGAGAGAGGGTAACAATATGCAGCACAGCGACTATGGGAGATTTCTATCTTGTCCTTGAAGTCCAATATTATTCTCATTGTTTTGTTGTTTTATTCAATGTTCTGTTTTGGTTTTATTCTGTTCTGTTTTGACAGCATCATGTCTGATGGTATGGGGAGCAATTTTGAAGATAACAAGAGGCATTATGGGAGCCATTGTTGATTTCCTATTATCCTGTTCTGAAGTCCTGCATCACCATCACTTTTTGTTTTCATTGGCTTCATTCTGTTTTGCTTGGTTTTATTCTCTTAAAAATACACTTTCTTTTGTTTTGACTGGTTTTATTGTTTTGTTTTATTATATCTGATTATGGACAGCTATTTTGAAGAAAACAAGAGACATATGATAGTCACTATTCATTTTTTGTCATCTTGTTTTTGAAGTCCTGTATCACTTTCATTGTTCTGTTCTCATTGGCTCTATTCTGTTTTGGTTTTATTCTCTTAAAAAAAAGGGGGGGGGGCGGCTGGGGATTTAGCTCAGCAGCATAAGCACCTGCCTTGCAAGCAGGCAATCGTGAGTTCGATCCCTGGTACTGATTTAAAAAAAAGCATGTATTTGGCAAAAGAACTTACATATCTGGAAAAAAAATGTAAAAACTGATTTCTCGGGGAGGGTTTTATAATTTTTTTCCCTGAGACAGGGTCTATATAATTCAGGCTGCCCTTGAACTCACTATGTAGCTGAGGCTGGCCTCAAACTCACAGCAATCCCATGTCTCAGCCTCCCAAGTGCTTAAAAATTTCTTTAAAAAACATTAAAAAAATATTTTCTGGGGAACATGAAGATGCATCAAAAGTCCTAAAAGAGGGACTAGGACACAGCTCAGTGGTTCAAGCACTCGCCTGATAAGCGTGAGGTTGTGAGTTTGATCCTAACACACAAAAAAAGTCCTAAAAGTGTTCAGGTTTAATAAGCAACTGACATTTCTAAAAGTGTATTCTAAGAAAACAATCATACATATGCTAATATGTATGTAGAAGATAATCACAGAATTCTATATAATGAACTGAAAACAAAAAATGTTTGAACTATGAGGTATGATCAAAATACATGGTGAATATTTAAATTCTAAAAAAAATTTTTTTTCTTTTTTGGTACTGGAAATCAAACTTGCGTGCTTGCAAGGCATGTGCTTATGCCACTGAGCTAAATCCCCAACCCTAAATTTTAAAAATTTAATGGCAATGTGTCTTATTCCGTAATAATCTCTGTCAAAATATTCCCCCTCACATCAAACACACTAATTCTATCATTTTTGCCACTTTCTGAAGCAGCTCTGGAGGTCCTCTTTGATACCTTTATCAGAGGTGATCAAAGCACAATGCACACCTGTGATCCCAGTATTCAGAAGGCTGAGGCAGAAGGATCGCCACAAGTTCAAGGTCAGCTTGGGTTACATAGTGAGTTCAAGACCAGTCTGGGCTACCAATGAGACCCCATCTCAAAAAAAAAGAAAAAAAGAAAAAAAGAAAAAAGAATACATAAGTGCTGCAGCAAAGTACCACTGAACAGAGAGGTAGGCTCAAAAAACATGGTTCATCCACGTTAGTCACCAGCTCTGGCACCATGTGACTTCTGGCTCTTCCCCAAAGGCAAAATGACCGTAAAAGGGAAACATTTTGAGTTGATTCAGAACATCCAAACAGCCTTGACAGTACAACTAAAGACATGAAAAGAGACTTCCAAAATTGCTTTGAAAAATGGCAAGAGTGATAGACCATGTGTGTCTGAAGCAAAAGGGAGCGTTTTGAGAAAGATTAGTGACAATGTATCTTTTATTATAATAGTTTTTATTTAAATATTCACCATAGTTTTCCATCATAACTCTCATCCATACTATGGCATATAATTTGGCGATTAAAGTAATTTTTGTAGGGGCTGGGGATTTAGCTCAGCGGAATAAGCGCCTGCCTTGCAAGCCTGTGGTCGTGAGTTCGAGCCCTGGTACCGGTAAAAATACAATAATAATAATAATAATAATTTTTGTAGAAAGAACAATAAGGATATTTTTCCTTTTTATCAGTACCGGGGATCGAACCCACGACTGCCTGCTTGCAAGATATATTTTAAAAAGTAGAAATTTAAAAGAAAGATATAAATAATGGTATATGTGATTCCAAATTCATTAAAATGACTTTTTCTTTTCTTTTTTTTTTTATTGGTACCAAGGACGACCACATGCTTGCAAGGCAGGCGTTTACACTGCTGAGCTAAATCCTCAGCCCCTGATTTTTTTTTTCTGTATTTACTGTATCATATATAAATATATATATGAAATACATATATCAGATAAAGATTCAACATGTAATCTTTTTTAGCCCCTGCTACTGGTCTATGTAGAACTCACTGCAGATTTTCACTGATTTCATTAAGCTGTTCAATAAAGAACTACTAAGGTCTTACCCCCGAAATTTGCCATTTGCTATCACCAGTCTCCATGCAGTAATATACTGAATTAACTAAAAGCAAAAATACTAAACCCTTCATCATTCAAATCCAAAAGTTGTTTTCTATTCTTTACCCTTCTTATTTCTGCCGTAGAAAATCCAGATGTCTTGAGTTGTTCACATTCTTTATGCAAACTTTTAAAGACTTCCATCAATTCTTCATACTAAAAGAGTAAATTAATAAATTACAAACTAGTGGCTAGATCCAGTATGAATTTCTTAACCAGGTTACTTATTAACTTTACAGTAATTACTTAAATCACTGTAAGAACAGCATTAAGAACACTTTTATATAGGCCACAAAAAAGTAGATCTGCACAGTATGGCCAGTAAATAGTCTCCAGTTCACTTCTGGTTACAGTCCCGCCTTGTACTCCACACTAGCTCTTGTGAAATGGCCAACCGTGTAAGTCAATCTATACATACATACTTCAGGTGTGCTCCAAAACATGTCTTTATTACTAATCCTTTCACTCACCGGCTGAACAGACCCAGTAAAAACTATAAACTTCCCTATAGGAATTAACTTTTATTAAATTTTTTTATGGAAGAGAGAAAATTTTATATTTTATCTTTTTTCTTTCCTACATTCGACAAAGTCTTCAAAAATAGAGACAGGGTGGCCTCACTCTATGGTGCTTCTCCCATGACATTTGGCATAGTTATTTGCATAAGAATTGTCTCAGGAGTTCAATATGGAGTCTGAGTGGCCTATGTCTACCCAAAGAACAAATTATATGGATAAAAAACCAAAAACGTCCAGCAATTGTTTTGATTCAATTCAAATATTGCACAACTAACATATAGAAGCAACTATACAAAACTGTGGAGGAAAACAAAGAGGTAAAACATCTCTACAGATAAATCACCTCCACAGACTTTCCAGAAAGAGTAAGAATTAACAGCACTGTCCTCAGTGCACTTGGCAGGCTGAGGTAAGAGGACCACTCTGAGCTGGGGGTCGGCCTGGGCTACCTGGGTGGGTTAAAGGCCAGCCCTAGCTGCATGAGACTGTCTCTAAAAAAAAGAATTCACAACAAACTCAAGCAAGGAGTGTAAGTGCCATGAAACAAAGCACAAAGCATTAGCCAGAGGCACTTTTTTAAAAGTCAGCTTTTAAAAATCTAAACCTGGTTTCTCTCTTTCTGCAGTTTGTGACCAGCATTGTGCCTTGGGACTCCAGGACCAGGAGTCGGACAAGCCAGAATTCTGGTAGTCAAATTTTAAGACTTCAAGTCAAAACCCACCACTTCTGTAAAACTCTAGTGAGAAACGCACACTAAGGCATCACACTCCCAGACCGGCTTTTATCCTGTTGGAAGCTGCAAACCTGGTTTCTTTGCTCACTTCCTGGCAGGGCCCACAGGTTCCAACTGGCCCAGGGCGGTGCCGCTTTACACAAGGCAGACCGCTTTTCTCCAACCTGGATGACAAACTTTTCAGTCACCTTACTGCAGAGGCCGCAAGCCCAGGATCTTACCTGCCCACAACTGCTAAGCAAAAACGTATTCTAATTTCAGGGTGCTTATTCCTACCCACATACTCTGCCACTAAAGTGGTATTTATGTGCAATAGTCATTATCTGAAGATATGACTACAGTCGGCCATGAGCTGAAACTGTTCTTACCTTCTGGGATCACCTGGAGCTAGACACAGCAATTACAGAGAGATGAACATGTATTTGAACATGTTCACCTTGAAACCCATTACCGTGGTTTCAAAATGCCACTTATGTGGGCTGTACCTGTTTATTGGCGTCAGCTACAATTTCATCCTGAAGAAATTCACTTGGTACCTCAAGTTTTATTAAAAAACGAGCTAAATATGCTCTTTTCTTCAGCTCATTAGTCCTTTGCAGAAGCCAGTGAAGCACTGGATAAACCACAGGTTTACTTCCAATCACCAAACCCTGACGGAAGGTACTCCTGAAAAAGACACACACACATGCACATGCATGCACACACGCGTGCACACACTGATCAGTAAAGCTGGAAAAGAGATATGGTTTACAATGTCCTGACTGCTTCCTAAAATTACTTTTAAAAGACAAACCCAAGGATATTCCTTTTTTTTTCTTTTGTACTAAGGATCAAACTCACAACCTCGCGCTTACCAGCCAAGTACTTGAGCGGCTGAGCTAAATCCCCAGCCGTACCCATGGCTATTCTTTTTTTAAATTTTTTTTTTTTTTAAATCGGTACCGGGGATTGAACTCACAACCGCCTGCTTGCAAGGCAGGTGCTTATGCCGCTGAGCTAAATCCCCAGCCCCCTCCCCACGGCTATTCTTAAATCAATCTTACATTAACTAGAATATGAGAAAAATTAGGCCTTCAATACATCCTTGTGGTACCCAAGAAAGTTACAAACCATTAATTGGCATAGTCAGCCTTAATATCTAATTGGGTAGTGTTTTTATCTAGTATAATAGATATTTGATAAAAAAGTATTTAAGTTTTTTGGTTAGGGGAAAGAACTGAGCCACTTAAGACTTCTGCATGGCAAAGCAGTAAAAGGTTTAAAACTATTTTGTTTTCTTTTTCCTTTTTTTTTTTTTTTTTGGAGTTAAGAGTCTTAGTATAGTCCAAGCTGGCCTTGAATTTACAGTGTAACTCAGGCTGCTCTAACTCCCAGAAATCCTCCTGCCTCAGCCTCCAAAGTACAGTAGTTGGGATTATAGGCATGCACCACCACACCAAGTTAAGCACAGTTTTAAGAAGGCAATAGGTGACCAGATCCTTACATGTCTGTGGCATTTCCTGGAGGTTTGTATTTAAGGATACCAAGAAGGCTCAACATCCGTTTGGCTGTCTGTTCTGGCATCTCCTCTCTGATATCAACAACTTGCTAGCAAATAAAGAAATGGAAATATACTTCATTGTTGTCTAACAAAGAACAATATTTTAAAAATCACTGACAAAATTGATTTGCTAGGGCCAAACAGGCACAATGGTCTCTTTATAGAACAGATGAATTATGGTGGCCCAGATTCCAAGTGAGCAAGTACACAAGTCAGATCAGGATTCACCCTAAGAATATCAACCTTAAAAAAGTCTCCAGCTGGGAAAGCCAGTGTAGGAGAGACAGGTGCTAACTTGTAATATAATAAAACCTTTTACAAAAGCATTTTCATTAGGGACCAAATCTATTTATGTCTGGAAGTAGACAAGTAATTTCTAAATAAGGTACAAGTTGATAACTTAAGTTTTGAGTTAGTTAAGAAGCCTCAAAAAAAAAAAAAAAAAAAAAAAAAAGAAAAGAAACCTCAACATCATTTACTACCACAATACAAGCATGGAAAATAGGGCCACCTGAGGTTAAGTAATTTTGGAAAGACACATAGCTTCTTGAAAGCAGAAACTGGCTGTCCTGATACCTTCTTAAATACAGAGGGAAAACTCTTACCTTTGGGTCAATCTCAGCCAGGACATCGTTAAGAACTTGTAACAGCTGCATCGGATCCAGGGAATCAAAGGTGATTAAATTATAGTTCTTCCTAAAAGGCTCCTTGTTGAGATTGTCCACAATGAATTTGATTTGATCGCTCATTATTAGATTTTATAACTTAAAACTAGAGAATATACAGGGAAAAATCCTCAATACTGGTAGCAAAAGTGCTGGGGAAAAATCAGAATGAAGTTCATAAGGAGTAGGTAGGAAAGGTATAGTAACCCTGCATGGCATATGCTATGAAAAAATCGGAGTGTAAAGATTTTATTATAAAAGCTACAGTGTATACTCTTCAAACTGAACACCACAAATTTTTATGTGCCTCAAACTGTAACAGCAACACAAAGAAACCGGTAATAAATTTTTCCTACATTAACACCTCTCCAATCTAGCTCCATAATCTCCATCCAGGGGTTAAACACTGGACTGCAGACATGCTTCCACTGGGTTTGATTTCTATTAGCAGCTCACATTTAAAGCAATCAAAATTCTCATAATGAAATCTAGGTATATCTAGAGTTCTCTTCCAAATCAGACCTGGCAACCCTGGGCTCACCTTTGGGCTTGGCCCCAACAACTGAAGCTGCACAGAGATGGCACCCTTGGGTGCTGCTTTGATTTGTGCCAAGCACTCCAGTTTCTGCTAGCAACTTAGCATGACAGGCACTGGCTCTGCCTCTGTGGCTCATTCAGGCCATCACTTCCTTTTGGCTTCATTGAGGAAAGAGTCTGTTTTCTGGTCTGCACCTCTCCCCATTCCAAGTCATCTGTAATCTTCTCATTCCATAAAAAATGAAGGCGAAACTTCTTCGATGTTCACAATTTTATATATAATCTAGCTCTGATTTTCCTTTATTTCCAAACTGTCCCCTTTACACCCTTTGGAACTTCAGCCCACTGAAATAATCAGAGCTCCCTTCAATGAATGTCTGCTCTGTCTAGAACGACTTCTCTCCCTACCTCCCCAAAAGAGCAGATTTCAACCATCTTCCAAGGCCTGCCCACCGGAAATTCACGTTTCTCTTTGACAAGTGACCCTCCAGGAAGAGTCTCAAACAGTGACTTTTTCCACTAAACTGCCTGAATTCATTCTTAGCTAAAGGCTAGAAAAAAACTGAAGGCTTAGTCTAAAGGAAATCAGGTTCTGGTGGTAAGAAAGATCCTGTTTAAAAACTGAGTATCTGATTTCTTAACTATCGAAACAGCTTTAGCATGATAACTCGCTTTAACTTCAGCAATTCAAAATGAACTGCCAACAAAAAAAGGAAGAAATGATTTCAATGCTCAACTGTAGAAGCCACAACATGGATAGATGCTATTTCACTCATGAAGGTCAAGTGAAAAACATGTTACTTTGAAAAAAACTGTTTTAAATTGGGCCCGTGAACTGGATATAAGAAAACACCAAAATGTAAAGTTTTTTGTTTTGTTTCATTTTGTCTTTTTCAGACAGGGGCTCGATATGCAGCTGAGGCTTTGTAGCCCAAGCTGATCTCAAACTCAAACCCGAGCCTAATACTCTGCCTCAGAGAGTGCTGGGATTACAGGCCTGCGCCGCCACGCCAGGCTTAAAATGGGAATGATATTATCATTTCTCTCTAACGATGACAAAATTATGAGTAAATAATTAAGGTGAGTCAAAAAAGGATAGACTAACCATTGTGGTTTACAGAGCTGTGGGTTTTCTTTAAGCTGTAGAAAGTAGGAAAACCTTTGGACAAGTTTTTAAAAATCCACATTGGAGGTGCAATAGAAGAAGCCCGTGTCGTAACCTTCACACACATATAAATTTAATTTTGAATCATTCAGAAGTGATCGATCTATCTTTCCACCTCTTTGTATAACAAAAAAACAAAAACACAACACTAAAATTAGATACACGAATAAAACGTTACCAGGAAGGGCAAAGAAACGAGCAGGGCTCCCCCACCCCGCTCGCCCACCAGCTCTGCAGGCAGGGGTCCCCGCTGCGGACCCGGATGCTCCGCACAGGTAGGCGGCCTTGCCCAGCGGGCTCTGAACTCCAAAATTAGCAAAAGCAATTACGCTCCCCTTGAGCGGCCCCGGCGCTCACCCACATAGCACCGGGGTGCGGGGGAGAATTAAACCAGGACGCGCGTCCTATCTGGCACAACTCGGACAGCGTCGCCGCGGCCCCGCTCCCCGGCTGGCCCAAACGCTGACCCGCAGCCTCCTGGGAGCTCCAGAAATAGTCCGGAGCCCGGGGCTGGTGGGGGGCAGGGAACCCCACCCCCGACCAGGCCACGGCTCTGGGCTCCCGGACGGCCATCCCAGCGGCTATCGGCGCGCATCCCGGCCTGGCCCCCGCAGGGGCCGGACCCTTGATGTGGGCCCGAACGGCTACGTCCCCTTCCTCGTGCATCTCGGGGTCGTGAGAGGGCGGGAGTTCGCTCCTATTTTTAGGGTTTGGGGGGAAGTTTTCCCGACCGCGAGTGGGCTAGGTTACCTCAAATTCTCCTCACGAAATCACCTCCCCACCCCCACCCAAGGAGGCACCCGCGCTCTAGCCCGTTCCTAGGACGAGCTCCTTGGTTGCTAGGCTGCGGCCATACGTCACTTCCGGTATCCGGGGCGCGCAAGCGCGGGCGGGCGCGCGCTTTGGGGTAGGAGCCCCCCTCTGCCCCGTGGGGATCCGCCCACGCGCAGAGCAGATTCCCAGGCCCTGACCCTTGTCAGAGCCCAGAGCTGCTTGCTGGGCCTGTGACCCCGGCTTAAATGTGACGCGGTTACCTTCCAGGATGTCCATCTAGCACTTGCAATGTACTTAACATTGTACATAATTAACCTGTACTAAAATGTGTTTGCTTTTTCATTCATTACTCACCAAACATGGACACTAAGTTCTTTAAGGAAGGGCCTTTGGGGATGAGGAAGCGTTTGACCCAGGCTTCAAATTTAGGTTTTCCATATAAGTATCCCCAAACTAGGTTATGCATAGGAACAACTGGAGAGAGAGGCTGGCAGCATTAAAAGGAGACATTCACCATTGCGACTTCAGCTTCTGTGTCACATTACTGGGCCACATTACCTGTAGTGGGAATTAGTGTTTTCAATCTAGTAATGTTTTTTTTAATATGCTGAGAGCAGGAAAGGAAAAAAAAAAAAGTAAAGGACTTGAAGCTCTGTGTGGCCTCTGAGAGACTATCTCTGAGCACACGAAGAAACAGAATAAGTCGTCCTTGTCTTCATAGAGGACACAGCCTGAACAGTTTGCAGGAAGGTCACTGTGCCTACATCACTAATGAAGTGTGGAAATTACTGGAACAGAGACCCCAAAGTTGCACTGTCTGTTTTGAGAGAGGCTTTAGTTAGTGAATAGTATCTTGACCTATCCTTATTAAGCTGGAGATCACTGTAGTTTGGGTAATATCAAAAGAAGAAAAGCAAATAAAAAAAAAAGAGGGTTCTTCTGACCCTCTTCTGACCCTGAAAAGAAAGTTGACTGCTCAAACACGTTAGGAAAAATCAGCTAGCGATAGCATCATCAGATTTACAATGACCCCAAAATAATGAGTTACAATATTAGGCATATTTTGGTTTGTTTGTTTTCGCTTGGTTTTTTGAGACAGGGTCGTACTGTGTAGTTCAGATTGGCCTTGAACTCATTTTTTAGCCCTGGCTGGCCTCGAATTCACAGTGATCCTCCTGCCTCAGCCTCCCAGGAATTACAGGTGTGCACCATCACACAGAGCTCTTAGGCTATTCTTACCTGCCTGGAACCATGCTGGCTGCTGGGGTTGCAGTGGAGGACAGGCTTTAACCTGGCTCCTGCTCCATGGAACCGATTGTTCAGTACTGAAAGATGATTAAAAAGGGCCAAGACTGAGATAAATGCTGTAACAAAAGGACCCAATGATGATAAAGCCTACATAGAGGGCCCCACGTTTATCTGGGAAAGTGAAGGAGCCACAGTACCAGGACAGCATGCTTCAGATGCATCGATGTGTAAGGTTCAGAAAATGAATCAAACAGGAAAAAACTCTTCAGGCAGAGGGAACAGTACATTCCAAGAGAGATCTGGTTGCTCACTTCTATACCTCGGCCACTTGGAGGTTAAAACTTTTTCCAGCGCACTGTTGCTCACAACTTGGTGGGGAAGTCAACAGTTATTTATTTAAACATTAAATAATTAAAATAATTGGGAAGAAACAATACCAGATTGTACAGGAATTGTGTAATGAACGGATCCTGTTGACAGTCTTAGGAGACCTTCTGGCTTCCCAGGGTGAAATCCTGGGTCTGGAACGGTGCAACCTTGAGAGATTTCCTCATGGTTCTGAGTATTCTCATCGGTGAAGCATGATTACAGTAACACCCTCCTCCATTGAGCCCATGCAAGGATGGAGGAAGTGGATAGAGACGAAGCAGTTAGAGTAGTGGCTGATATTGGGAAACATAGAAACCTCTTACTTTTTTTCCAAACAAGATGGTCAGTGAGCCAACAGTGGCCCTGGGCCAGGAAAAGAACCAAGAAGTCAGCCTGCCCTTCCCATGAGCCAGCCAGCACATGGGCTGGGGCCCAGGAAGAGAACTCCCACCCCCACCGACCCTAGAGGCAACTGGCTGACTCGGAGGAACACAGACTGGGACCATAGTAACTGAGGCACAAAAACAACATAAATGCTTTGTGTCAATTGACTGATTTTTCAGGCCTGGGGCCTGAATAGTCTGAGCGTGTGTCTAGAGGATAACAATATGCAATGTAGCAACTATTTGGTTTTGAAGTTCCATATTGTTCTCACTGTTTTGGTTTTGAAGTTCCATATTGTTCTCACTGTTTTGTTTTGTTCCGATTTGTTGTTTTGTTCTATCCCCTTAAAACAAAACAAAACAAAAACAAGTGGGATGATTAGCTTTGCTCCTTCTCTGAAGTCTGCAGTAAAGGCCATAGAAAGACACTGTACTTCCCGGTGGCTCCAGCTCCTCCTCCGCCTGTCTACACTTGTATCTACACTGCCCTTGGCAGCCAGGAGCCTGCGACCCTGTGTAAACTCCTGTAAGCAAGAGAATCCACTCTTTGTACCTAAGCTGGGATGCGTTTTGTGCTTACTGTGGTTACTCTCAGAACATGGGAGAGAATGGGAGGGCAGTCAGCTGCTTCCTGGGGTCTCTGTTAACAAGTTCGTTTTCCAATCTGGGACAGAGAGGCAGAGACAGAGACAGAGACAGCCCCCTTTTGTGATGATCTTGTGATTCCTTGAAGGTAAAACCTTGGGTGGATTCACTGAGAGCCCTCTGAGGAAACTGTCAGCAATAATCTCACAATGGTCAGGCATTGCTGATTTGTTTTCTTTTGATTTTTTACAATAAGGTCTCACTATGTAGTTCAAGATGGCCTTGAACTCACCACGTAGCTCAGACTAGCCTCAAACTAATGGTGATCCACCTGCCTCAGCCTCCCAAGTGCTGGGAGTGGATTCATCTCAACTCACTGTTCCTTAGACTTTATGCTGAGTCTTCTATGTAAACATCACATGGTGCCTTTTGGCTGAAATGCATTTAATATTTATTTAGTATTTGTTTGAAGCAAGGTCTCTTAGGTAATTCATGCTGGCCTCGAACTCACAGCAGTTCTCCTGTCTCAGCCTCCCAAATGCTGGGATTCAGGCAAGTGCTACCATGCCTGGCTGACATTTTTAATACATGAAAGGAAGGTCTAGCTCTATGTGACAACAGCCAAAAGCACCTAGTGTCCACTCCTCTCCTATTTAGCAGCTTTACTGAGATATAATTCACATGCATGTAACTCACCCCGTTGGGTGTATAATTCAGTGACTTAGCATATTTACAAAGATGAGTAAGCACTGTGGAAAAAGATTCTACTGGCCATATCCAGTGAGCTTTCCTCTGCAAGGAGCTGCTAGGAACAGTAGGTTTACATTCTGCCAGTTTTGCAACCCCTACAAAAGTAGAATCTTTTCTCCAATAGTTTCAGTAAATTTCAGGGCCAACTCTCATTGGCCCAAAATGTGTCAGGCCATTCTTGAATCAATCGCTGTGACTCTGACGGCCACAGCAGTAGACCGAATGAGGAAGGCCACATTTGTTACCGGAGATAGAAAGGTGTCATGTAGGAAGAACAGGTGTCCCGTCCCTTGCTCAGGGACGGCTGTGACACCTTGAAGGAAATCAGGAAGAGGGGCAAATGTGCAGGGAGGATCTGTAGCAAAGAGAACTCCTTGATTTCCTGCCAGCAGACTTCAGTACTAATGCAGGTCTGTATCACAGGCCAGGTGAGGTCCTGGGATTACAGCAGGACCCCCCACCTCCCCACCCCCACCCCCCATCTCATCCTTACCTCCCCACCCCCACTCCCCTCACCCCTACCCCCCTCCCCACCTCTGGTTCCCATGGAAACCTGAGGGTGCAGTGAACACTGTGCCTCCCACCCCTTCTCATCCCAGAACTTCCAAACAAGAACTTTCCTATGCCGACGACAGGGAAGCCAAGCCAATTTTCTGTTTTTGGTATTAAATTTAGACCTTTCATCCTGACTCTGAGATATTTCTGGATCCTGCACGAGCATTCAGCGGATGCCAGTCTTCAAGATGCTGTCCCATCTGGGGCGACTGCATGCTGCCCACATTATCTTTCTTTCAAGACTGGGAAAAATGACCCAGGTGTAGGAATGAATTCAGAAGTGGGTTATTCCAGCATTCATTAATTGTCATTGAATACTTCTGCCATCTAGGTTACTTGGAGGGGAAAGAAATGAAATTTGAATAGAAACCCAAATTGAGGTTTGCGGATATCCTAAGTTGTTCCTGATCTGGCAATTTAATTTTTTTAATTTAATCTTGTAGATATGGTTAGTGACTGACCGTGCTTTCTTAAAAGGTAAAAAGAGCCCTGCATGGAGGTGCATGCCTGTGATCCCAACAATTGGGAGTCTGAGGCAGGAGGGCCGATGTGAGTTCAAGGTCTGTCTGGGCTGCAGAGTGAAAGCCTGTCTCAAAAAAAAAAAAAAAAAAAAAAAAAAAAAAATCTAAAAAAAATGGTATGTGACGCATTCAACTAGACAGATGAGATTCCAGAGGATTTATAAAATGCATGCCTGCTACTACATTTTTGTGATGTAGTTTTTATTTTTTTAAACAGAGTTTGTACTTGCAAATGGACTATGATTTTCAAAGAAGAGAAATCACTGATGAGATTAATGGGCAACCTACAACAGCCAAAATAATATGCAGCTCAGGCTGAGTCTTCGATGACCTGTATGTACTGAAATTCAGGATGCAACCAATAATCTCACCAGGCCCAGATCGTAACTGTGCTGCTGTGTATCAGGTGTTTTTGTAAATACTTCACACATCTGGCCGAATGTATTTGAATGGTAATGTCTGCGTGCTCTCCATTTCCCTTCTTGAAACAATCTCCATTGCCTTGGGGAAGTCAGTGGACTTAGCGAGACACTGTCTCAAAATAAAAAGTAAAAAGGGCTGGGGATGTAACTCACTGCAAAGGTCCTGGATTCATTCCCCAGCACCACAAAGAAGAGGGAGAAGGAGGAGGAGAACAAGGAGGAGGAGGAGGAGGAGAAGGAGAAAAAGAGGAAGAAAAAGAAGAGGAGGAGGAGGAGGAGGGAGGAGAAGCAGTGAAACAAAACAAAGCAGAAGAGTATGGAGAAGAGATGCTCAGAAGCATTGCAGGAGAGGATGCAGATAAGAAATCCAGAGCAAGAGCTGGACCTGGTGGGGCACACCTGTAATCCCAGCACCCGGGAGGCTGAGGCAGGAAGATCATTTTAACTTTGAGATCAGCTTGGGCTACAAAGTCAGCTCAAGAATTACATAGTGAGACCCTGTCTGAACAAGACAAAAAAAAAAAGTCCGGCGCAGCCTCTGAGAAGGCAGAATTCTCCACAGAGGCCACATAGCCAGCCCAGGAAAGCTGAGGCTTTCCTTGTCCCACACCTGGTATGGGAGGGAGCATCAGTGTCACTGGACCTGGAGTCTTGGATAATGTGTGACCAGGGAGTCACCAGGGCGGACACTGAGTGGGTCCTGAAGCTCGGGGACCACAGAAGCGCCCAGGGCCAGGGTGGCCCTCAGCCTGTGTGTGTCTGTATGTGTGAGTGTGCATGAGTGTGACTCTGTATGTGGAAGGGTGTGTGAGGTGGGGTGGGGTCTCTATAGTGAGATCCTATTTCTCTCTAACCTAGCAGAAGGGGGCCTCAGAGCTGGATTTCAGGAGATTATAAAATAATGCTACTCTCCTTGGAAATCCGAGTGGTAGGCTGATATCGGTAGCATCCTGCCGGGGTGAAGATGGCACATTCTGGGCACTAAGGAGAGCTTAATACAGGACCATGTGGAAAGGCACAGGCAGCATCCAGAGGGAGCAGCCAATGCTCCCGGGAAGCCTGAGAAGGGGTAAGAGGAGGAAACAGGCAGCAGAAGCCTGACCAAACCGCAGAGGGGAGGAGGCAGCCTAACCGGAGCCTCTGGATGTGGCCTGATCTGACCTCTCTGTACCCGCCTGGTCTCCCACTGGCTAAACCCTGCAGGGAGCCAAAGGGGAAGGAGGGCCACCCTGTGGGACCTGCCTGCATAGACAAAGAGAAGGGTGGAAGGCTGCAGAGTGGGAGGGCAGACTATTATTCTGTTATTATTATTATTATTATTATTATTGTCTTTTTTGAGACAGGGTCTTGCTGTGCAGTTGAGGCTGGCCTTGAGCTCACTTTGTCTCCAACTCAAAAGGCTCCTCCTGCCTCAGCCTCCTGAGTGCTGGGATTATAGGTGTGAGCCACCACACCCAGCTTACTGTTATTATTATTTAGTGTATGTTGGTAAAATATGGTGATTGTATTCGTCTTGGGGAATTGGTCTTGTTTTGTCATCCTTGTTTTGGGAGAGGATCTCACTTTGTAGCCCAGGCTGGCCTTGAACTCCCAGGGATTCTCCTGTCTCAGCCTCCCAAGTGCTGGAATCATAGCAGTGCACCGCCACACCCAGCCTCACAGATTAATTCTCTATAGGTTGGTTTCTCTGACCACAGTGGTGGGCGCTGAGGCCTTCTGAGGCCAGTTCTCCACCCTCACATCTCCCCTCGCTCTCTTGGACCTGACACTCGGCATACTGCATAGAGTCACCTCACCCTACATCATTTCATTTAGTGGACACCGCTAACAAGTCCACACAGAGGGGCTGGGGATTTAGCTCAGCGGCATAAGCACCTGCCTTGCAAGCAGGCAGTCGTGAGTTCGATCCCTGGTACCGATAAAAAAAAAGGAAAAAGACAAAAAAAAAAAGTCCACACGGGGCCTCGTACTGTATATACTTTCCCATTTTATAACTGAGGAAACTGAGGCCCAGACAGTTCGCTGAGGACCCCAAATCACAAAGCTAGTAGCTGGCTGAGCTAAGATTCAGGCTCGAATCTATTTGATCCCAAAGTCATTTTCACCAACCCCCCAACCCTAGCACCTGCTCAGCAAAGCCTGACCGGGAGGGGGGGGGGGCTCCTCTGCCCCGAGGTCCCTCGGGGAGGAAACGCTGGCCACTCCCTCTGCTTCCCGGGGTCTACCGAGGAGCAGGGCTCAGCCTGCTTGGGTCCAGGGTTTGGAATCCGAGTGCAAACCCCAGCAGCACAGCAGGGAAGATGGGGCGAATTGCTTGGCCCACTGGAGGGGGGGATTTTCAGTTCAGAAGCCTTTCAAGCGCTTTTTTTCTTCCGCAGCTGAATGCTCGGTGTATTTATAGAATTCAGGGGGAGTGTTTAAGGGGAAGCAGCAGTGGAGCTGCATTTAGGGCCCTCAGGAAACTCAGAATCAGGCAGAAAATGGTTGATGGGAGGTGACAAGGAAAAGGCCAAGCCCAGCGGGGCACCAGTGGGTTTTGTCCTTCGTGTTGCCAAAACCTTTTCGTCCTCCTGGGCTGGCGACGTCATATCACAGTTGGCAGCTGTGCTGTAGATGGAATTACAGTCAACGTGACGGGCGAGGGGGCGAATAGGTCAGCAAACCCCACGGTGCGCAGGCGGTAGGACGGGGGCGGATATAAAAAGAATCCCAGGGCAGAACCTGGAAGAGGCTACGCCGAGTGAAAGGAGCCAATCACGAGAGGACGCGTGGTTCGAGTCCACTGACGTGAAAAACGGAGGCTCAGAAAATCCAGAGACAGAAACAAAATTGGGCCGGGTGTGGTGGCGCACGCCTGTAATCCCAGCACTCAGGAGGCTGAGGCAGGAGGATCCTTGTGAGTTGGAGACCAGCCTGGGCCACAAAGTGAGCTCAAATCCAGCCTGACCTGCATAGTGAGACCTTGTCTCAAAAAGACACACATTAAAACACACACACACACACACACACACACACACACACACAAAATTGGGGGTTGCCTGTGGCCGGGTGGAGGGGGGGAGGTAGGGCAAATGCTTAGTAGGTGTGAAGTTTCCTTTTGGGGTGATGAGAATGTTCTGGAAACAGAGCAATGGGTCATACTATATTGTGAATTACTAGATGCTATTGAATTGTTCCATTTAAAATGGTTGATTTTATGCTGAGGATCCCACCTGATCAAATAAAAAAGAAGGGCAGCCAGGCCCTGGGAAGTAACCAGGTCATTCCACATCCTTCAAGCTATCTTTTCCCTCTGCAGCTGAAGCCCCAGCCCCTGCATGGCTCAGGCTTAAGAGACCTCACTTCTGTCTGAGCTCCCCAACCCTGACTCCCATTGTATTGACCAAACATGCCAAACCTGTCCCTGCCTCAGGACCTTTGCATGGTTCTATCTGCAGCCTGGCTTTCTTTGACCAGGTTTCCATAAGCCTGTGTTCTCCTCATTGAGGTCTCAGCTCAGATGCTTCTGTATCAGTGAGGCCTTTTCTGATCTTCTTAAAATGGGACCCTATCAGTCACTGTCCGTCGTGGCATTGTACCCATTTGAGTCATGGCCCCTTGGAGGTTACTGAGCACAAGTTAGTGGGTCTTGGTTAACATCTTTAAAAATGCAATGAACCCAGGTAACACCCAGGTAACACCTGGATACTTAATAGGTGCTTAATAAATTTTTATTCTCCTTGAGTAGGTTGTTGACTCAGCTATGATTTCTTGAATGTTGAGCACTGAAAAGTATTTGTTAATGTGCTCTTACATGTTTTTGAACACCTACTGTGTGCCAGGCACTGTTTAAACTGGTCCTACAACAAGAAGAAATAAAGGAACTATAACTCTAGCCATACCCAGTAGATTTTCAGTATGACACTAAAGCAGTAATGAATAAATTCCTTGATGCTCCCCCCCCCTTTTTTTTTTCAGACAGGGTCACTCTGTGTAGTTAGGTCTCGAACTACTAAGTAGACCAAGCTGGCCTTGAACTCATGGCAATCCTCCTGCCTCAGCCTCCTGAGCACTGAGATTACTGTGTATGCCACCATGCCCAGCTTCATCGATAATCTTTTGACAGAGGAGGAAAATGACATCACCTTTCCCAAGGTCATGCAGCTAATCAGACCCCCTGGCATCTGGGTCCTCTCCACACTGCTGTAGATGGTGGGGCTTGCCCAGGATGGACCTTGGTGGTTACAGATCTCGATTCCTGCCACTGCTACTCAGAGGATCAAATTTGTCCTTCTGGAAATCAGACCCAGAGCAGTGGGAACAGGTGGATCTCGTGACCTCAGAGTCCCTGCCTTCTGTGCTTAGGACCCCACCACTCCATGACGATGGTGACCATGACGATGGCTCACACCTGGGATGTCGCAGATTTGAACCAAGGATCTCAGTCACTCTGCTGTCTTATCAGCATGTGACATCCCCAAGTGGCTGGGGCCAGGAGGCCGGGCAAGGAATGTGGGCTGAGTAAAAATAAACCTGCCACATTCCTTGGCAGCCCCCTGCCCCTTCCCGCTCCACGCCATCCACGGGGCAGCAGAGCGTGCCAGGGGAGGCAGAGGCGGGGCGCACAGGGTGGGGGAACCAGTGCCGCTGCCCTCCAACCCTGAGAGAGCGAGGGAGAGTGCAGAGAGGGAGGCAGACAGAGAGAGAGAGAGATCACCTTATATGGGAACATCGCAGACAATGTGTGGCAATGGCTTGGAGGGCAGCACAGGTCAGACACCAGACAGATGGGAGAAATGAAACACGGCACAGAGCGTGTTCCCGGGCCCTGAACACAGCTCTTGTTTCATGGCAAGGGCCCCGCAAAGCCTGGCCTGCCCGTTTGCCTTTTTTGCCCAAGCTGAGCAAGATGTGCATCCTAAACCCTATAGGATTTGGATCTGGACCCGACTGCAGCCTTTCTGTGGCTGGCAGAGGTCTTGGTTGTTTAAAGTCACTTCCTGGATGAGCCAAATTTCTCATTGCAAACGGAAAGGAAAAGACTGGCTTCCTTCTCATGTTTCCAGTGTCGCTGCAAAGCACATCAATCGGCCTCAGGAGTGGACGACCTTTCACTGCTCATGCATTCATTCAACAACCCGGGCCAGGGCCTGGGAAGGTGGCCATGGTGCTGACAATGACAATCAGAGTTACAGTGCACTGATGTGCACCCACCTGATCAATGTTTTCCCTCCTTTTTAGTTTCTATGTTCATTGCCACTACTTGACGCACTTTAAAATACAAATTGTATGACTTTATTTTAGGTGGCAAGTCTACATCTGATAAATAGTTCAGTAATTAATAATAACTTACCCAGCACTGTCCACGCTGCGCTCAGTGATGATACGGAACATTGGTCTCTGCTGGGTGGAGTTTATTCCCAGGGAGGTGAGGCGAGGTGACGACCTGACTCCCTGGGGTCTCACCACAGCTCTGCACACCTGCTACCACTGTCATCGCTGTGTGACACGGGATTTTTCAGCCTTACACCATGGACATTTTAGACTGCATAAATCTTTGTCACTGCAGGATATTTGGCAATATCTTGGCTTCTACCCATCAGATGCAAGTATCAGCCAATCCCCTTTTCCCAGCTGTGACAAAAGGGTGTCCCCACAAGCTGCCACATGTCACCTGGGATGGGGGCAGAGTCACTCCTGGCGGAAGCAGATGACAAGGAAAGGCTCAGGCTGAAGAAGGGACTTCTAAAGGTCACGGCCACTGGCGAGTAGGACTCAGGCCCTAGTGTTCCCTCAGATTCCCAAACCACAGAACTCCACTTCCCTACAATAGACAGCTGGGAGACTGTATGGCTGTCAGCTTCATTGTTCTATTCCACAAAATAGAAGCCCCTTGACAATCGGGTGCTGATGGGCTCACACTTGCAAGAGATCCTTGTGAAGGATACAGGGGGCCTGGAGTGGGCAGGGAGGTCGTGAAATGACCTGGAGAAGGTGAGGAGGAAGTGGTGAGCTGGGCACAGCCACTAGTACATGCTGGAAACTTCCGGCCATGCTGCCGGCCAGTGGTGCCTGAGCCCAAGGCTGCTGTAGGAGGAATCCCAGATCAGGCGACACAGGGGCTGCACTGGGATTCACACTGCTGCAGTCCCGCCTGGGAAATGCTGGCTTGGCGCAAACTTGGCAGAGCCAGAGGGTGGGAGAGAGGGCTGCCTTTGCCAGCGTTCTCCCTGGCGGAGGTAGGAGTCAGCACAGCGTCCCCTGTAGGTAGAGAGTAGGACACCGGCAAGAGACCAGGGGTGTAGCTCAGTGGCACGGCACTAACCTGGCATCCAGGACTTCAGATCCCTCCCGAGCACCGTGAGAAACAGCAAAGGAAAAGAAAAGAAAGTTAGCAGCCAGCAGGATGCGGTGCCATAGACCTCTAACCCCCGCACCCGCACCCGGAAGGTGAAGGCGGAGAATCACAAGCTGGAGTCCAGCCTGGGCAGTTTAGCGACTTAGTGACACCGGTTCCGCAATAAAAAACAAGAAGAGCTGGGGATGCGGCTCAGCGTGAAAGCCCTGAGTTCAACCCCCAGGACCAGAAGGAGGCCGGAAAGCCAGCAGCAGCGTCAGTGCGTGACAGAGACAGGCTGGCGTTCCTCGGGCAGGAGCGCTCTTTCCTCCACAGCCTTGGGCTTCCGAGTGAGGATCACAGCCAGCCCAGCTGCAAGAGTCCGCGCAGCCTGGAGGGGCAGCTTGTGGGCATGGGCGCCCTGCCAGCCTTGCTTTCCCCGCGTGCATGCGTGGGAGGCTCACCACCCCCGCTCAAGGGCCTGCTGTGAGAATGGACGCCTGTGACAGTGCGCAACTGCGGGCCCCTTTCTTTTCTTTTTCTTTCACACACTATTTTAGGTACCTGCGCTGCCTGGTAAAGTAGGAAACCTGGCCACACTGTATGGCGTCCACTGGCCGAGAGGCTGCTGCCCTCCACCGGGCATGCACTGCCCGCTTCCCACAGTGCCCACCGCTCCCTCCTAGCTCTGGGCCTAAAGCCAGCGTCAGCTCACGATGCCTGTCAGTCACGCTGCCATGTAGCTTAGAATAAGATTCCGTAGTCTCACACATTAACCACAGAGGAAAGAGGAGGCCAGAAGGCCACGGTGGTTTTCAGTCCTGCCCCATCGCTCCTTCCCTGTGGCCCCTGCCAGCGCCCCCATGACCTTCAGGCTGCCATCTTTTAAGCCCTTCTAGAATTTGCTTTGGAAAGTCACCCTTGCTGTCTCATAAGAACCCCTTACAGTTCTATTTCCCTTCACATTCATAAACCACCGTCAGCTCTGGGTCATTCACATCTTCCTGCACCCCTAGGTGTATGCATTTTCCCATTTATTTATTTAGAGACAGGGTATTACTATGCAGTTCAAGCTGGCCTTGAACTCACAACAATTTTCCTGCCTCAGCCTCCTGAGTGCTGGGATTATAGGCAGGCGCCACCACATCCTGCTTTTCCTTGCCTTTTAGGGAGTTTGACCTGGAGAGCTGAGGTGGTTGTCTCACAAGGCCACATAGGGTTAGTAGTGGCAAAGAAAAGGCCTCCTCACTCTAAGCCTGATGGTTTTCCATTACTCGAAGGGTATTCAGACTTACAATTGCATAAGTCAGACAGCTAACTAAAACCACTTTAAGCAGAAAAAATGCAATTGACTCCCTCCTGTATACGGAAAATCAAAGGGGCCAAGGACTTCAAGCACAAGCAGATGGAGGAGCTCCAAGGTTGTCCTCGGGGCTCTGTCACTCCGTCTCCATCCCGCTTTACTAAGTTGGCTTTATTGGCAAGCAGCCACTCTACTCATGATGGCAAGACAGCTGCCAGCTGTCAAATTCAGTTAGCTTCAAATCTAATGGCAAGAGTTCTTCTAGACTTCCCGGGTAAACGGAATTGAGTTTCCTTGGCTTTGATTGGCCAGATCCAGTCACATGCTTAACTGGGACCCAATCACTGGCCATCAGGATTGGCCAGACTCAAGACCAACTGGTAGTCAAGGGGTGGGGCTAACTACCCTTAAAGAGGAGCTGTTAGGGGTAGGAAGGAGCTGGGGAGTGAATGTCCGCTAAAGAAAACGCCCCTTCCCACATAAACCCGATTTCCTAGCACAACTACACCCGGCCTTTCCTCTCTTTGGAAGGCCATCCCACGTCCTCTTTCTCCATTCAAATCAACTTCATGATCTTGTTCTGGGAATTCCTGGTAGAGAGAACCTGAACCATGCACGCACAGCAGCACTGCGCCCCTATCACTGTGGATAGAGTGAAACAACAAGGAGAGAATTTGTGTGGCCTGCAAGAATCAGAAAACTTTTCCAAAACGGGAAGGAGAGAACCAGCCTGTCGGTGGAGGCCATCTTTGAAATGACAAGGTTGTGGTGCTGCCCTGGCTGCTTTAGTCTTTTCAATATTTTCTACCAGGAGGGAGAAAAAAAGAATCCAGATGGTAATACCAAAAAGGAAGTAATGCCAGGCTGGTTGCACAGCTAGACGGTAAGCAACGTGAAGCCACGGCCAGGCGCTGGCTCAGCTCTGCCTCTAAACTTCGGGCAGCAGCGCCCAGTGTTGGGGCTGCTAGAGCTAAATCCACAGTATCGGGGTTAGGACAGCCTCGATCCCCTTCCCTACGGCTGGTCTACATTTCTTCTCTTTTAAATTTGCTGAGCCCCACTTTGTGTGTGGTCTCTTTCCTCCCTGTGGCCAGGCACTTGGAGAGACAGCCCTTGCCTTAAACCCTCCACTTTTAGGGGGCACATCTTCCCGTGAGTCTGTCCAGCTGGGCTTTCTGACCTTAGCCCTGGTGACATCGAGGGCCAAATTGTGGGGGACTGGCCGGTGGGATGTTTAGCAGCACCCCTAGTCTCCAGGCATACTGGTAGATGCCAGTAGCACACCCCTCCCCTAAACCGTGCTGACCAAAGGTCACCTGGGGGACAAAATGGCTTCTGCCTGAGAACCACAGGGTCTAAATCTTCAGGGCAATCTCATTGACCTGGCCAGTGATTGGCTCAGGCAGAGAGTCATGTGACACACTTCTGGCCAATGAAATGTGAGCACAAATCATCTGGGGAAGGATAGCTCCTTTTATAAGGAGACACAAGGAGCTCGTACTGCTCGCTAGTCCTCAGGATTTTGCCTTACTTGGATGTGAGTCTGGGAGTGCAGTTGCCAACCTGCAGCCACGCGGGGCACTCACTTAAGGGCAAAGGCGTCAGGATGAAGGTGAAACCTGCAGGAGCGAATCTGCTCAAGCTGCTGAGGGGCAGCATGAGCCTTCTTGTGCTTTACTTGTTATAGCAAAATAAAGAGTTTGCTATGTCAAAGCGTTTAATCTGAGCCACACTTCTCTGTTGCATCACCTTATCTAGCCTATGGATCTACTGAAGACATTGTGCATATAGGTCAGAAAAGCACAACAGCGATTGGGAAGGTGGGGCGTGGGTATGAGAGTCTGGAGCTGGGAGCTGGGCTGTGGCCTGATGGCCCCTTTCAGGACTTGCTGTCAATCAAAAGCTATTTCAGTTCCCTTAGGAATTGCTAATAATGGTCCAGACGCTTGATGGAGAAAGGGTCCTCATTCCGTTTGCAAAATGAGGACCAGTATCTGGGCTAGGACTCATTATATCTCATCACATAAAAATGGCCACATGACATCAATTTGTGTGGGTATTAGGCTACTATTTCTGTGTCCAAAATGCTTCTGAGACGGAGCTGATTCTCTCTCTGTCTCTCTCTGTTCTTTTTTGTACCAGGAATTTAACTAAGTACCTTGCATTTGCCAGACAGGCGTTTGTGCCACTGAGCTATATCCCCAGTCCTTTTTTTTTTTTTTTTGAGGTGGAGCTGGGTAAGAAAGAGCTAAGGCATAACTTCTAGAAACCTCAATTTCCCTCCCTGTAAACTGGGAAGGGTAAGATGAGAATTCCCTGATACTGAGGATCACGGGAACACTTCATGAACTGTAAAGCAGGTAAGGGATTACTGACCCTGCACACCCCAGGTCTACAGCGTGCAAAAATAGTCTAAATTTAGAATGTGATATTACCAATTAAGGTCTTTATATGTGACCTTGGTAAGTTTTTTTTTTCCCCCCAAGGTCCATTAATCCAAACCTTGCTAAGTTTTTATGCTTCTGAGGCTCTGCCTTATTGTCTGCACAGTGGCAAGATCTTGTTCTATTCACTGAAGCAAAAATAAGGCTTTTAGGGAAAGAGTAGCATATATCATTAATATTTTTTAGTAATATTTTTAAATAGTATTTTACAATTTTCACGTCAGGGTTAGACAATAGCAGCGCAGACTTCATAGTGAATGTTGGTGCACTTCTGCCCTCTGCTGGTCAGACATGGTACCACTGAAGGTTATCATAAGAGGTCCTTAAACAGGGTCCTGAGAAACTGAGGCACAGAAAAGGGAAGGGACTTGCCAGGGGCACAGAGCTATCAATAGACGAAATGGAGGTTCGAGTTTGAAGCTCCCGAATCAGTATTTTCTAGAAGCAGAAAGAAATGAGAGCAGCTGGGCATGGTAGCAGACATCTTTGATCTCAGCTATTCTGGAGGCCCAGGCAAGAAGATCACAAGCTCAAGGTTGGGCTGGGCAACTTAGCAAGCCCTTGTCTCAAAAAATATATTAAACTGAGCATGGTGGTGCATGCCTGTAATACCAGCACTTGGGAGGCCAAGGCAGGAGGATTCCTATGAATTCATGGATGTAATGGATCATATGTCACAGCTTGGCAGCCAGCACACTGTGGGGTATTGCTGTTTCCCTCGAGATCTCAGGGCTGAGGGAAAGTCACAGCTCACCCCTGCAGCCCAGCCTCATTGAGGAAGGATCCTCCCTGGGGAAAGATGCAAATTTAAAACCCACTCTGTGGGGCTGGGGATTGTAGCTCAGTGGCATAAGTGCTTGCCTGGCAAGTGCAAGGTCCTGAGTTTTAATTCCCAGTACCAAAAAAACAAAGCAAAACAGAACAACTCGCCATGTGGCTCCTATGGCAGGTGTGTCACTTTAGCACTGTTGTAACATCATGGCCCTTAAGTCAAGGGCCATGCCCGTACATTTGTATGGTTTGGTAGTGTTCAGTGGGGAAAGGGGGTGAAGGGCTGGCAGGGTACAACCTGGCTGAGCCTTAAAAATATATGAGGTGAAAGAAGCCAGGTGCAACAGACGGTGGAGTGTATCATTTCGTGTATGCGAAGTGTCCAGGCTCTCACGTCCCTGTTCAGGAGTGAGAGCCTTCTTCAGAAAATAGGGTTCATTTTTCTCCTCCTCTTCCTGAAGAGCTGAGTTCCATAAGAACACAGCACTCATGGAATCTTCCAGAAAAGCTGAAGCCCTAGCTAGGTAAGAACCAGAGTGATGCTGGACACCTGTAACCTCAGCACTCGGGAGGATCACCGTGATTTGGGACCAGCCTGGGCTATTAAATTAATTCAAGGCCAGTGTTAACAAAAACAAAACACTAGTAACCATATCAATAGGAATTGGAGACCCTTCCCTCTTATTTCCTCTTTAGCTGATTTCTTGAGAGCTTTGTCTCTTACTGGGTATTCTTTGTCACTGTTGTTGTTTTGTTTTTTTGAGACTGGGTC